TGCGGAGCTACTACCGGCAAAAGTACATGAAGCACTTTCAGGTAATTAATTAATATAATACGATGATATGATTATACATATATATACTAATGTGGATAATGTTTGTTTTTGTAAATATATAGGAATTGGAGCATTTTTTAGGGATCTGAGCACCCGCACTCTTAAAGTGGAAGTTGTCCAACAACTTCATGAAAACATCACTGTCTTAATCTGCAACTTGGAGAAAGTATTTCCTCCTACTTTTTTGACGTAATGGAACACCTAGTTATCCACCTCCCGTATGAGGCATTACTTCGGGGACCTGTGCATTATGGATGGATGTATCAGTATGAAAGGGTCATGAAAACTTTGAAAGGAAAAGCCAAAAACCTAGCAAGAGTTGAAGGTTCTATTGTTGCGGGAAGTTTGACGGAAGAAACATCACATTTCACATCGTACTACTTTGCACTGAAAGTACGTACAAGAAAACGAGCTCCAAGAAGATATGATGATGGTGGTGTCGTGCCAACATATATGGAAGACGATGTTCCAGACATCTTTTGTCAAATTGGGCGATTGGGTGGAAATTGAAAGATATTTGGTGGTCGAGTGATGAAGACGTCCATAGTGCACACCTTTATATTCTTCTTAATTGCGAGCATCCATTGATTGCTTATTTTGAAAGGTAAATATATAAACATACACAGTTATATATATATATATACATATATTTTCAATATTAAATACATAACATAACATATATGATTTTACAGCCAATTTGTGACTCAAGTCGAGGAAGCTATACCTGGTATATCGACACCTGAGTTGGACAAAAGGAAAGATCAACATTTTATCAAGTGGTTGAGGAAACTGGTATTTATTATTACTGAAATTTTATGCATACATTACCACAAAGTAAGTCTAATATGTCTAGTTATATTACTTTTTGTTGCAGGTTGATTATGACGATCCTCAGTATCCCGCATGGTTTCGCGAATTACTCCAAGGTCCAGTTGCAAAGGTCACTACATCATCGATGTATTTCACCCGAGGCTATACTTTTCATACCTATGACTATGGTAGACACCNGAAAGGCGAAACATATTTCTACGGGATCTTGCAGGAGATTTATGAAGTTCAATTCCCAGGTATGGGTTTGAAATGCGTTATCTTCAAGTGTGAGTGGTACGACCCCGTCGTCAACAGAGGTGTTCGGATTAACAAGAACGGTGTAGTTGACGTCAATGGTGGACGAAGGTACAACAAATTCTTTTTTGACATATGTACAGGCATGTTCTGAGAACTAATAATTTCTCCGTTGTCTTAATTTTTGCAGGTACAACAAATTCGAGCCTTTCATATTAGCTTCCCAAGCAGATCAAGTTTGCTTCATTCCATACCCTCGGATTACTACAACGGGAATAAACTGGTTAGCTGTTATCAAAGTGACACCTCGAGGACGGATTGTGCGACATGGTCTACAACTGGAGGGGCGACTTTCAGGTATAAATTTAAAAATTATAATATATATATTATAGTTTTAAAAATATATATTATTGACTTTAATTCTAATTATTTTAAATCAGGTGAATGGTTACGAGTGCGGGAAACCCGATTGCCTCACAACCACGGTGTGGGATGGCCTCATCAGCTATTGGGCGTTGCCGGACTCGATCAGAACCTCCCATACAAACTCCGAGAACCGCATGGCCACAGACGAGCATGGCAACACGAAGATACTTCACACCACGGGCCGAAAACCTCACGGGGGAGTTCGTCTAGACATGGTATTTTTTTATAACTATTTAATTTTTACTTTATTTGAATATTTTAATATTCTAAATTAATATTTAATTTTAAAAAAAAAATTAAAGCTAAAGAGACAGGAG